CGTGAGCTTCTGTTTCGTCATTTGCAGGAAAACAGAAGCTCATGAAAGAAAAGCCACGGAGATCTGACCTGGGCAAGGGAGCGCATGCCAGCAGAGAGGGCTTTGTGTGCCACAGGTTTGCCATCATGGCTATAGGTCATCATTTAGTGCTGATCAAGAAAAAGCCATTAAAAGCTGCTAGAAACAAATTTTTTAAAGCTTGGTTGAATAAAGCCAATGTTATAAATTTTTAATATTGTGAAGTTTATTATTTTTAAGTAGTGGAAGTTGTAGGTCACCTCCCCCCTTTTACATGTTTCTCAAATTCTGTAAGATGCTAAAAGGGCTCTTTACATGATAATGTATTTAATTCAGTCTTATTCTTGTTGAGGAAGTCCTAGCATGGTTAACTTTTGCATTCCCCTAACTGAATCATTAATAGATAAACATGCTTATTATGTTTTGTAGCCTATATGTTTAACCCTAAGGTGTAACAGTGTAGAGTGTTCTTAAAACAGCTTATTTCATGTGATTGCACTGATTTTTTTAAACAAGCTGAAATTGTTGAATAACTGAAATTTCACTGAACTGGAATACTTTTTAAAACTATTAAGCACCAGTTTGCTGCCCTTTTCCAGTGAACTGTTAACACCCTGTTTCAATTATCTTAAATCCTATTATATCTGCTTATTAAATATTGAATTAATAAGCATAGTGAAAATGTTGCTGTTTGGGGAAAAATAGTAATCTGAATATTTTGATGGGTGAAAGATCATTCACCAGCAAAATATTACGTAAATTCTTTGTTGTCATGTTGCCAGCCTGAGAGGTTTCCTGTATTACGTAACTTAATTCTATTACAGATTTTTTAAGAGTAAAGTACTTGTTACTGTATTTGTTGGCAAACTAACTGGAATGCTTTTTCTATGCTTTTCTGTAGCTTGAAAACGCAAGGCTGTCCTCTGAAATGTGTAGCTCAGCAGCTAATACCGTAAGAGAAGAACTTACAGAAAGTCGCATGCGCATTGATAGCCTATCTTCCCAACTGTCTGCTTTACAGAAAGAGGTAAGGAATTTATGATTCTAAGTGAATACTAGCAGGTCCTTTACTAGATTGGATTTGTATTTCTCTCAATTAAAAACAGAAGACAATATATCTCAACTGTATTACTTTTCAGACAAGGGATTATTTTCCTTTTATTGCAAATACCAATGAGGGAGTTTCTCGATCTTCCTTCTGCTTTTAAGAGAAGAAAGAGGGTAACAGAATAAAACTGTGTCTGTCAGCAGTCAATCCTCCTTAAATATTTTGGGGTGAATGTTAGACGCATCTGAATTGAGGTGTTTACCATTGAATAAATTGTGCTGATTCTTTTGGAGTAAATCTAATTTTAACTCTTAATTTGTGCTTTAATGTGTTTTTTGAATTAATTCTACCTAATGTATTTTAAGTCCAATGGCTTACACAGTAGGTACCCTTATCAAAACAAAGCTTTCGGCTGACTATTGGTTGCGTAAAAGTAGTACTATCAGAAGAGTGAGCAATGTTTTTAACATAAATTATTTTTCTTTAAAATATTTTTCTTATTTTACTTGAGGAAAGTAATATAAAATATTTTAAACTACACCATTTGTTATAAATCACCTTGGTAAAGTTATTTTAAAATATGTACATACGTTAATATATAATGCAGCATACAATATATTAACTGGCTTTTATAGGAAGAGATTCTTAATTTGCTTTAGAGTAAGGAACACTTAATCCTTATATTGTACTGTTATATTTAGTATTTACTCAAGATGTTAATGCATGGGAAAATAGCTGAATTCTGAATATTAAAAAGAATTGTTCTGCAAATGAGATTGTTTTGAAATCATTCAGTGATATGCATAGCTTATTCTTGGCCCAAACAGGAAATATGTATGTTTATTTCCTTTTGTGTTAGATTGCGTAATAATCTGTAGAAATATATTTTTGGGGACAAATTAATTCCTTCATGCTAATTATTTTATGTACAAAACAGATAAAAATATTTCATGTCTTTTGGTTTCAGTTTTTAATAGCATCTTTCCATATATATATTCTCAGAAGTTAAGATTGCTGAGGTTTTTGTTTTGTTTCTAATTTTTAGTCTAGAGGGTGGCTAGAGAGGATGCAAGAACTGGAGGACATCCTGGCTAAAGAAAGGGATACCTTCCGCAGGACACTCTCTGACAAAGAGAGAGAGATGGCAGAGATACGAGATCAGATGCAACAGCAGTTGAATGATTATGAACAACTGCTAGATGTAAAATTGGCTCTGGATATGGAAATCAATGCTTATAGGAAGCTGTTGGAGGGTGAAGAAGAAAGGTAATGTAATTTAATATTTCTATTCACTAAACACTTACCCACCTCTCTGAAGGTCAGGAGAGACCTTGATGATGAGATATGTGTATGTTTTTAACAAATGGAGGTCAAAATGGAAAGATCCTCTTTTCCAAATTTTCTCCTAGGATTTCTATGTGATCATGCTTACATTTGTTGGCTTAGTCATGTGTGATATATAAAAGCTAAAATCCAACTAAAATGTTTTGCTGTAAGGAAGTGTATAGTATAAACAACAGTACTGAAATAGTATTGATCTTGTAATTTTAAGTATTGTAATCACTGGAGAAAATTGCTCTTGGTAGGGAATAGATTTGCTAATGGGAAGTTACAGGTAGTCCTCAACTTAACAACCACAATGGAGCCCAGTATTTATGTTGCTAAGAAAGAAATTTTTTAAGTGAGTTTTGTCCCATTTTACAACTTTTACTGCGACAGTTATTAAGTGAATCAGTGCAGTTATTAAATTAATAACATG